ATCCCACCTCCTCTGCTCCTCTGGTCTCCTGGCTCTTTTTACTGCTACCCTTGGCTCCTTCTTCTTCTTACTGCTGCGCCTTCAGCCACACCCTTGAAATGAGGGCAGGTAAAATCAAACACCTGGCCTTCTCGAATAAAGGCCAAAAATGTCGGAGGTCCCGTTTGCAAGCTGCGCACGTTAAAGATTCCGTACTAATCCTAAAATCGATAAGAGTAGGCTTCGGCCACCTCACGGACAAAAATCAAAATTAATTCCGACCGAACCGAAAATGCTTAATGTGTTCGGCGCGCTAATATGACCGTATGCAGTTGCGAACGCCGTAAAACATAGAAAAGATCATAGAAAGTTTGAGAATGTACAGAAGTGTTGGAGGGCTAATATTTCTGTTGTCCCAGCCTTTCATAACCTTGGAGCATTTTGACATCGCCTTATTTAATAAGTCGATTCATTTTAAAATATGTGTCACAACGCGGTGGAATCAGGCGGTCGTTCATTTTTGGGCATAAAGAGTATCATCGGAAAGGTTGTTAATTTTTTAATTTTTTTGTTGCTTTTGATGAAAGAAATATCGTCTATCTTGAAAAGAATCCGAGATATTTACAATTAAAAGAGGAGGGGGTAGCCTGGTTTCAGAGGTAAAATCAATGAGAAGATGGACGCTTAACTTTGGTGACCTCTAAAGTTAATAGTGTAGGTGAACAGCAAATTCAGATTTTGTATGCCTTTAACCAATGTTTTTCAGTAAAATTCCCACATAAATGTGTTTTTAAACGGGCGAAAAAGGGGTTGAGCCGAAAGACTAAAAATCGATAGGAATTACCAAAACGAACAGGAAAATACCTGTTTCTTTGATTTCATTATTTGGACAAGCGCCTGATTTCGCTACGATGACTCACATATTTTTTTTTTACATGGCGAGTTTGCTGAGCATAATTATGCCTTTATATCCTTTTGTGTATTCACGTAAGTCCTGATTTGTATTTTTTAAAGTCACCATGGCGGTTTTTCACCAGTTTGTATTTCTGTTCCAGCAGTTTATTTTTTTCTTTTCGCAGAATTTTTTCTCAATTGTGTGTTTGTGGTACAAGTCATTTTTACCGTGATGTACATTGAGCACAAAGTGGAAAGACATAGCATAATGTCAAGAAGCCAGCCCAGGATAGGGAAAAGTAGAAAGTGCTTGTCGATAGCTTATACCCTTTAAAATGAAAAAGGGGAAGTTATTGTGGTGTTGCTGCTGCTGCTGCTGCTGCTGCTGCTGCTGATGATGATGATGATGATGATGATGATGATGATGACAGCATCGGGCACCTCCTTGGGATTAAATGGACAATATAAATGCAATCCATTTATATATATATTTATTTATTTATTTATCTATTTATTTATTTATTTGTGGGAGTCTCGGGATTTTCAAAGTAAGTCCAGCTGGCCCTGAAAGAGTAGTAAAACCTGGCCTGTTCCTTGAAGGGACTCACCCGTGAGTACTCAAAGCCGTTGTCCACGAAGGTGTCTCTATCTGACCAGTTGTCCAGCAAGTCCCACTCGCCGTTTGGTGAGTAATAGGTCAACACAAGGCCATCCTGATGCACGATGATGCTCAGCTCCTGCGTTTCGTTTTAGTAAACGTGTTATGGCACTTGTAATACAGTTAGGTCATATAAGTCCCTAGGATTGAAGGCGTTACAAGAGAGTAACAAGCACAAAAAGGAGGAGAGAAAAGGTCGACTGATGTTTGAAAGGAAAGACGGAACAAACCGCACGAGAGCACCTGCCGGCCGCCCACATTCCTGTGTGCGACACAAACCAAATGCATATAACACTAGCAACACCACAAGGTGAACGGTAACGTAACTCATTTCCATGCGACACCCCTGAAAGCGTAAACACATCCTCTCTTATAGATATACCCTCTTTTCCACACACGTACACACATATGCACATTTATTTTATGTATTATACTTACAGCCATAAGCAGACTCACGATCACAGGCATAAGATACAATTGTTCACAATAATAATAATAATAATAATAATAA